TGCTCTACCAACTGAGCTATCATCGGACGTACTCGCAGAATCCTCATTTTCCTTTTCTTGAGTTTGACTGTCATGTTCATCATAATTGACACACCATGACAAAAGTTCAAAAGACCGTGCAGTAGCCGGGATTCGAACCCGGGTCGCATGCTTGGAAGGCAGGCATAATAACCACTATACAACTACTGCATGTTGTGCTTTGATCAACATGGCGTCCCTATCTTTTTTCATACAACAATTTCATAGCATGATTTATCAAAAGCGCTCCCAGACGGGGAATTGAACCCCGGTCTCGCCCGTGACAGGGGCGGATACTAGCCACTATACTATCTGGGATTGTGATGCTGCCTTTGTTTAGTAATACTTGTTACTTATTCTTTCATCATCCACTTAATTCTTTCATCAAGATTCTCTTAGTGTAAGTTGGCTCATGCACAGACTTTCCTGTTGCTGAAAGAATAATTCTTTCAATGGACCTCTGTCTAAGGGGTTCAATAACAAAAGTTATATGCAGTAATAAGACAATTGTTAGCTAGAGAACAGAATCACTGAATATGTGTTGGTATTTATTTTATTTAGAAATATTTGGTGGCATAACAGTATGTTAATTCAATTACAAGTATGTGAATTGTTTGTGGAGGTTTACATACATCTTGTATAAACTATAACAAGTTAAAAATGTTAACCTATTGAAACAGAAGAATTTCAAGAAAGATGTTGAGTCAGAACATTGTATTGGAGCAAAAGATTGAGAAGAGGAGGGAGGAGGGACAAGCGAGAGGGAGAGGGAGAAAAGAAGCGAAAACAGAAATAATTTTTCTGGTTGGCTTTTGTTTGTAATTGTGGCGCAGAAAGCAAGAATGCCAACGCAAAACGACAAAAATGTAGAAATTGGCAGAAAATTACATGCATATTATGCTTGCAAGTTTTGTGCAAGTGTTTGCAAGTTTTGATCTCTGTAAGGAACTGATAATAATGTTTATTTCTCTTACAGCGCCTTTGTGCATTTATAATTAGCTCCAACAATCATGTTTTGATGTCAAAATAACAAATGAGAGCAAGGAATTGTGACTGAACACAAACCTCTGATCTTAAAGATTGCAGGAAATGAGCCAAACTTTGCAATATGATGGCACAAAAGCATCTTCACTGGAGCAGAATAATATCTGATTTGGCTGCAGTAATTACGTTGGACAGATAAAAGAAGGGTTTGAATGTGCTATGCTCCATACAGGGATCGAACCTGTGACCTTGGCGTTATTAGCACCACGCTCTAACCAACTGAGCTAATAGAGCAGATGACACTTGCAAGACTTAACATACCAAGTTTCGCATTATACTGCGCAACAACCACAAAATAGACTTCCTATCCTCTGAAGTGTCATTTTTTACCAGCCAAGCATTAACAGCTGGCATAAATAGAGGAAAGGATGGCGAAAAATCTCTTTCCTTCTCTTCTGCAATCCAGAAATCAAGAATGTAAATAAAATCACGTCCTGCACAGGATTCGAACCTGCGCTCCCAAAGGGAAACGCCTTAGCAGGGCGCCGCGTTAACCACTCCGCCAACAGGACTTTCTGATGCCAGATGGCTTCAAACCCTGCATCCGCCGACTTTCCATCGTTTCAAAAAAGTCCGACGACCCGGGGTCGATCCGGGGGCCTCCTGATATCATGTTCACATTACAGTCAGATGCTCTACCAACTGAGCTATCATCGGACGTACTCGCAGAATCCTCATTTTCTTTTCTTGAGTTTGACGTCATGTTCATCATATTGACACCACCATGACAAAAGTCAAAAGACCGTGCAGTAGCCGGGATTCGAACCCGGGTCGCATGCTTGGAAGGCAGGCATAATAACCACTATACAACTACTGCATGTTGTGCTTTGATCAACATGGCGTCCCTATCTTTTTTCATACAACAATTTCATAGTATGATTTATCAAAAGCGCTCCCAGACGGGGAATTGAACCCCGGTCTCGCCCGTGACAGGGGCGGATACTAGCCACTATACTATCTGGGATTGTGATGCTGCCTTTGTTTAGTAATACTGTTACTTATTCTTTCATCATCACTTAATTCTTTCATCAAGATTCTCTTAGTGTAAGTTGGCTCATGCACAGACTTTCCTGTTGCTGAAAGAATAATTCTTTCAATGGACCTCTGTCTAAGGGGTTCAATAACAAAAGTTATATGCGGTAATAAGACAACTGTTAGCATAGAGAACAGAATCACTGAATATGTGTTGGTATTTATTTTATTTAGAAATATTTGGTGGCATAACAGTATGTTAATTTAATTACAAGTAATGTGAATTGTTTGTGGAGGTTTACATACATCTTGTATAAACAATAACAAGTTAAAAATGTTAACCTATTGAAACAGAAGAATTTCAAGAAAGATGCTGAGTCAGAACATTGTATTCAATGTATTGGAGAAAAAAGATTGAGAAGGGAGGACAGGGAAGAGGGAAGAGGAGAGGGACGAGGGACAAGGACAAGCGAGAGGGAGAGGGAGAAAAGAACCGAAAACAGAAATAAGTTTTGGTTGGCTTTTGTTTGTAATTGTTGCGCAAAAAGCAAGAATGCCAACGCAAAACGACAAAAATGTAGAAATTGACAGAAAATTACATGCATATTATGCTTGCAAGTTTTGTGCAAGTGTTTGCAAGTTTTGATCTCTGTAAGGAACTGATAATAATGTTTATTTCTCTTACAGCGCCTTTGTGCATTTATAATTAGCTCCAACCAATCATGTTTTGATGTCAAAATGACAAATGAGAACAAGGAATTGTGACTGAACACAAACCTCTGATCTTAAAGATTGCAGGAACTGAGCCAAACTATAGCAGTATGATGGCACAAAAGCTGCTGGTGTTAAATCATCATCACTGGAGCAGAATAATATCTGATTTGGCTGCAGTTATTACATTGGACAAATAAAAGGAAGGGTTTTGAATGTGCTATGCTCCATACAGGGATCGAACCTGTGACCTTGGCGTTATTAGCACCACGCTCTAACCAACTGAGCTAATAGAGCAGATGACACTTGCAAGACTTAACATACCAAGTTTCGCATTATACTGCGCAACAACCACAAAATAGACTTCCTATCCTCTAAAGTGTCATTTTTTACCAGCCAAGCATTATACAGCTGGCAGAAATAGAGGAAAGGATGGCGAAAAATCTCTTTCCTTCTCTTCAGCAATCCAGAAATCAAGAATGTAAATAAAATCACGTCCTGCACAGGATTCGAACCTGCGCTCCCAAAGGGAAACGCCTTAGCAGGGCGCCGCGTTAACCACTCCGCCAACAGGACTTTCTGATGCCACATGGCTTCAAACCCTGCATCCGCCGACTTTCCATCCCTTCAAAAAAGTCCGACGACCCGGGGTCGATCCGGGGGCCTCCTGATATCAATGTTCACATTACAGTCAGATGCTCTACCAACTGAGCTATCATCGGACGTACTCGCAGAATCCTCATTTTTCTTTTCTTGAGTTTGACAGTCATGTTCATCATACTTGACACACCAACCATGACAAAAGTACAAAAGACCGTGCAGTAGCCGGGATTCGAACCCGGGTCGCATGCTTGGAAGGCAGGCATAATAACCACTATACAACTACTGCATGTTGTGCTTTGATCAACATGGCGTCCCTATCTTTTTTCATACAACAATTTCATAGTATGATTTATCAAAAGCGCTCCCAGACGGGGAATTGAACCCCGGTCTCGCCCGTGACAGGGGCGGATACTAGCCACTATACTATCTGGGATTGTGATGCTGCCTTTGTTTAGTGATACTCGTTACTTTATTCTTTCATCATTCACTTAATTCTTTCATCAAGATTCTCTTAGTGTAAGTTGGCTCATGCACAGACTTTCCTGTTGCTGAAAGAATAATTCTTTCAATGGACCTCTGTCTAAGGGGTTCAATAACAAAAGTTATATGAGGTAATAAGACAACTGTTAGCATAGAGAACAGAATCACTGAATATGTGTTGGTATTTATTTTATTTAGAAATATTTGGTGGCATAACAGTATGTTAATTTAATTACAAGTAATGTGAATTGTTTGTGGAGGTTTACATACATCTTGTATAAACAATAACAAGTTAAAAATGTTAACCTATTGAAACAGAAGAATTTCAAGAAAGATGCTGAGTCAGAACATTGTATTCAATGTATTGGAGAAAAAAGATTGAGAAGGGAGGACAGGGAAGAGGGAAGAGGAGAGAGGGACGAGGGACAAGGGACAAGCGAGAGGGAGAGGGAGAAAAGAACCGAAAACAGAAATAAGTTTTGGTTGGCTTTTGTTTGTAATTGTTGCGCAAAAAGCAAGAATGCCAACGCAAAACGACAAAAATGTAGAAATTGACAGAAAATTACATGCATATTATGCTTGCAAGTTTTGTGCAAGTGTTTGCAAGTTTTGATCTCTGTAAGGAACTGATAATAATGTTTATTTCTCTTACAGCGCCTTTGTGCATTTATAATTAGCTCCAACCAATCATGTTTTGATGTCAAAATGACAAATGAGAACAAGGAATTGTGACTGAACACAAACCTCTGATCTTAAAGATTGCAGGAACTGAGCCAAACTATAGCAGTATGATGGCACAAAAGCTGCTGGTGTTAAATCATCATCACTGGAGCAGAATAATATCTGATTTGGCTGCAGTTATTACATTGGACAAATAAAAGGAAGGGTTTTGAATGTGCTATGCTCCATACAGGGATCGAACCTGTGACCTTGGCGTTATTAGCACCACGCTCTAACCAACTGAGCTAATAGAGCAGATGACACTTGCAAGACTTAACATACCAAGTTTCGCATTATACTGCGCAACAACCACAAAATAGACTTCCTATCCTCTAAAGTGTCATTTTTTACCAGCCAAGCATTATACAGCTGGCAGAAATAGAGGAAAGGATGGCGAAAAATCTCTTTCCTTCTCTTCAGCAATCCAGAAATCAAGAATGTAAATAAAATCACGTCCTGCACAGGATTCGAACCTGCGCTCCCAAAGGGAAACGCCTTAGCAGGGCGCCGCGTTAACCACTCCGCCAACAGGACTTTCTGATGCCACATGGCTTCAAACCCTGCATCCGCCGACTTTCCATCCCTTCAAAAAAGTCCGACGACCCGGGGTCGATCCGGGGGCCTCCTGATATCAATGTTCACATTACAGTCAGATGCTCTACCAACTGAGCTATCATCGGACGTACTCGCAGAATCCTCATTTTTCTTTTCTTGAGTTTGACAGTCATGTTCATCATACTTGACACACCAACCATGACAAAAGTACAAAAGACCGTGCAGTAGCCGGGATTCGAACCCGGGTCGCATGCTTGGAAGGCAGGCATAATAACCACTATACAACTACTGCATGTTGTGCTTTGATCAACATGGCGTCCCTATCTTTTTTCATACAACAATTTCATAGTATGATTTATCAAAAGCGCTCCCAGACGGGGAATTGAACCCCGGTCTCGCCCGTGACAGGGGCGGATACTAGCCACTATACTATCTGGGATTGTGATGCTGCCTTTGTTTAGTGATACTCGTTACTTTATTCTTTCATCATTCACTTAATTCTTTCATCAAGATTCTCTTAGTGTAAGTTGGCTCATGCACAGACTTTCCTGTTGCTGAAAGAATAATTCTTTCAATGGACCTCTGTCTAAGGGGTTCAATAACAAAAGTTATATGCGGTAATAAGACAACTGTTAGCATAGAGAACAGAATCACTGAATATGTGTTGGTATTTATTTTATTTAGAAATATTTGGTGGCATAACAGTATGTTAATTTAATTACAAGTAATGTGAATTGTTTGTGGAGGTTTACATACATCTTGTATAAACAATAACAAGTTAAAAATGTTAACCTATTGAAACAGAAGAATTTCAAGAAAGATGCTGAGTCAGAACATTGTATTCAATGTATTGGAGAAAAAGATTGAGAAGGGAGGACAGGGAAGAGGGAAGAGGAGAGAGGGACGAGGGACAAGGGACAAGCGAGAGGGAGAGGGAGAAAAGAACCGAAAACAGAAATAAGTTTTGGTTGGCTTTTGTTTGTAATTGTTGCGCAAAAAGCAAGAATGCCAACGCAAAACGACAAAAATGTAGAAATTGACAGAAAATTACATGCATATTATGCTTGCAAGTTTTGTGCAAGTGTTTGCAAGTTTTGATCTCTGTAAGGAACTGATAATAATGTTTATTTCTCTTACAGCGCCTTTGTGCATTTATAATTAGCTCCAACCAATCATGTTTTGATGTCAAAATGACAAATGAGAACAAGGAATTGTGACTGAACACAAACCTCTGATCTTAAAGATTGCAGGAACTGAGCCAAACTATAGCAGTATGATGGCACAAAAGCTGCTGGTGTTAAATCATCATCACTGGAGCAGAATAATATCTGATTTGGCTGCAGTTATTACATTGGACAAATAAAAGGAAGGGTTTTGAATGTGCTATGCTCCATACAGGGATCGAACCCCTACACCTCTGGCCATCTAGGTGTTATCCAGAAAACCAGAAAGGACTTTTTCTGAGTGGCAGAAAGGCGTACCCGTCCCGGCCAGAACGTAAGCGGCAAACCCCCCTCCTTTCGCATCCCCCCTTCTTCTCCTTCCTTCCCCTTCTTTTTCTTCTCCTTCTCCCCTCTCTCGCGGCGGTCCAGGTCCTCTAGACGGCGGCGACGGCCGTGTCCGAATACGGCAGCATCACCAACGCACTACCACCGCTTTCCACTGCACTGCCACCCCCTCTACTTGCCAGCGAAACAAGAAGTGTCCGTGGTGCCTCTAAGCGGACGGGCTGCTTGGCTTCGGCGACGGCAACTGAGTGAGTGCGGCGGCGATTGTCTGGACTCCAACTCGATCACCGAACAACCGAACGACTACCCCTACCCCTGCCGACGAGCCTGCCGAGGAGGCAGAAGCTCTGCTATTTTCGTCGCCCTAAACCCCATCTTCATATTAAAAACGCTCATCTAACGTGTTCTATTAGACTCGCAGCCCAACCCAAAAGCCAACAAACAACAACCCTGTCGACGAGCCTGCCGAGGAGACAGAAGCTCTGGTATTTTCGTTTTATTCTTTGACTTTCATCATAAATCGACGTTCTAATACTTCTCGCAGCCGTAGCAAAAGTCGTCCGCAAACTGTCCTTACGTCACAAGGTACCTCCCCCCTGCCGACGAGCCTGCCGAGGAGGCAGAAGCTACGCTATTTTCGCTCTCTAAAACTCTCGGTTCATAGTAAAAACATCACTCGAAGCCGCCCAAAAATACTCACCGACCACAGCCACAAACCTCAAGGTAAACACCCCCCCCCCCCCCCCCCCCCCCTGCCGACGAGCCTGCCGAGGAGGCAGAAGCTGCGCTATTTTTGATCGTTTTAACTCCCTATTCATAGTAAAAACATTGCTCGAACCCGCCGCAATCTTCAGTTCAGTCAAGGAGGTAACTCCTCTGCCGACGAGCCTGCCGAGGAGGCAGAAGCTCTGCTATTTTTGATTGCCCTAACTTTGCGTTCATAGTAAAAACATCGTTCGAAGCCGAAAGCCAGTCATTGTCGTTTCATTCACAACTCAAGGTAAATGTCCCCTGCCGATGAGCCTGCCGAGGAGGCAGAAGCTCTGCTATTTTCGTCCCTCCTTTTTCTGTTTACTTAGTAATTTCTTACGACTTTAGGATTGCAATCAAGTATGAACGAACCGAATTCAGATCAAGTGACACCAAACGGTGACATCGAGAGCCTGTCCGCTCACAGCGTTGAGTGCTGTGTATGTAACAAGCCAGTGCCGTTGGTGAAACAAATATTATGTTACTTTTGTTCTGCGCCGGCGCATGGGAACTGTTTTAGTATTCTTCGGAAAGCAGATAAAAGTGTTGCTCTTGGTTGTTACACTGATTGCTCCGGAGCTGTTGTCTCTTCCACACGAGCGGAATTTACTCTTGAACCAAAGCCGACCGCGCCGTCAGACACAATTCCAAAATATTTGCAGAGTAAATGGATTCTCATGCGCACTGCTGAGTTTGAAGGAATGGAACCTGTTCACCCCGATTATCCCGACTTTCTTCTGCAGCGTGAAGTTGCAGTGTTACGCGCAATGAACAACGTTGAGGACTCTAGAATCAAAAATCCACTTAATGCAATGTGGTCGTACTTTGAAGCACTTGGAATATTTCGGACTGAGTATTTCGAATTCTTGATGTTCCTTATAATGGAGTACCATCCTGCACCAAACAATATATCCTCCTTCATCACTCGATCCAAAGTCTTAACTGGGAGGCTGACTGATCCAAAACGAAAGAAGACGCTTCAAACGGATCGAACCAGCTTGCATCATGTTGAGGTACACACCTTATTTTCCTCCCTCTCTTTTCTTTTAACTCTTTGTCCAGAATTTTATTTTTGCCATGCGTGCAAACGGGGATCACTGCTTTGACTGGATGTTCCCAAACTGGGCGAATCTTCAAGCTTTATTGGAATATATTGAGAATAAGCCATTGCGAGATGTTCCAGATCCATCGGAAATTAGAGACGAAGTCGATGATCTTGTTGCGGATCAAGATCTTGACGAAGGCATTGCCACGGAAATCAAGAAACAACCATTCCTTGGGCAAAAAATTGTAAGTGCAATCTCTAGTTTGCATAACCGCTAATCACGCATCTTAGTCAACTCTCGCAAAAGTGAAAGGCTTGTGGGGAAATATTACATCAGTAATTATTGCATTGATTCAAACACCTGTACCCTTGCCGAATCCATCAAAGTGCGACGATGCCGGAGCCCATATGGATGATGCCATTCGAAATTACAACCGCCGAAAATATGAAGAAAATCCAGATGTAATGAAAGGAACGTTTCTGGAGTTCCGCGAATCGCGGAAAAACTATCGGCCATATATGATTGACATGTTGGAGGATGATAAACGAGGCCGTCTCAAGCAGCAAATACGGTCGTGGAGTATGGAATGTCAGGCGACAGCAACAATGAATCGAACAAACGAAGCCACGAACATGAACCTTAGTCATCTAGCCGTGCACGAGTACAAATCCGGAATTCATGGGAGCGTGTTTGGTCTCTTATTTTTGTTGCCAACATGGAAGACCGACACTCGAACTACACTAAGTCCTCCTCGTATTATTGGCTGTATCAGTAATCGTGATTGTGTTCTTGATGCGATTGGAGCAATTGGGATTCACCTGCTTGATCGATTTGTGTGGCGAAAGGACTTGAAGAATAACGCAGACACCGCTCCAGACTTTGCAAACTTTGATAGCTGGAAAGATCGAAAGCTCTTTCCGCCGTCTCATCGAAATGTTGATGCGGCAATGCACACGAAAACTGTTGCCCGAAATGTTCAGTCACGAAAAGAAAAGGCGGGGATACAAACATCGCGCGCACTTCATGAAGGTCGCAAAGTTGCCGGTCTTGGTGCATTACAGCGCGGGGCTCAAGTTGAGGATTTGATGTCGATAGGATGGTATCAGATGGAAGTCGGACGTGGAGTATACTTGCAGCAAATACCTCGTCTTGATGTGCTTTTAAAGTTAGCAGAATTAGAGGAAGGCGAAGTATATTGGAATCCTCGTTTGGATGTTCGAGATGTTGAATTTGAACAGTCGTGTGAGGATTTACAATTTGCCTTCACAGAGGAATCGCCAGATGACAATGTTACAACCAAAATATCAAAACCGACGTTGGCCTTTATTATTGTCCGGGGTCTTCAAGTAAGTTGTACATTGTCACTAAACACTCTAAAATACATTCTAGTGCTTGGCTGCTCTTTGCCATCGCAAATATTGGAAAATGAAGTACACGTTGAAATCTTGGCCGTTTACTCACGAACGTTGGGGGAGCTGGGTGAAGCGAATTGGAGAAGCTGAAGACAGACTTGATGCTGGCTACACTGCGGGAGATATGATTGCAGATGATCGATTGAAGGTAATGTTCTTGGATGCCACTCAATTATTGCTAACTCTTACTAGGCAGATCCTGCTTTAGTTGCCATTTTGCAGCGTGTTGCAGAAGAATCAAAACGCAAATTCAACTTATTGCGCAACAACAAGACCTCATCAAAAAGCTGCACGAAAAGATTGATGACCAGAATGAAATGCTTCGTTATCAAGGGATGCAGCTTTTTGAACTTACAAAACGTTCACTGTCTTCGACACGTGTGACTCCAATGACACCTATGAAACCGAAGATCACTGCTACTTCTGTTGCGATTCCATCTACTCCGGAGTCCAATTTTCCATCAGCTCCGGTTTCATCGTCGCCAACAGCTGTAACAACACCCACAACAAACGCACCGCCGTCCACATTTTCGACCAAAAGTGCCATACCTTTCAATGCAAAATTGATTTCAACTC